TCGACCGGTAAAATCCAAATGTTAGATGTTAGACACCTGCCACGCAGATCGACCGTTTCGAGTGCTTCTTTTCTTGGACTGACGAAATTTCAAGGATCATCGGATAACTCGAAATATCAGTCTGGCAAAATGAATCGTTCGACGCCTCATCGAATCGCTTAAAATACTTTGATAGAATCGTCTACGTCAATGCGATGGATAAGGGATGGTCTGTTCGTCGTTATTTACGCGAATGCTTGGCTTACGTAACTATCTGTTGGGAGGTTATGGGAAACAGATGGAGAAAAAACGTGGGAAAATGTCTTGAAATACAAGGCTTAGATACATAGCAGCTCGATGGTATTAATTTTGCATTCAATTATCGATTTAATTCGTGGATAAGAAATTCGAGCTCTTCAAATGATATTTCATGGAGTCAGTATTAAAATTGAATTTTCTCTTAAATCTTCTGTTCGCATGTTCGCAACCATGCTTGGAGTACTACAATCAAATATTCCATAACTAGACTCATCCTTTATTTATTGCAATATTTGATTGGATATATTCACGGCGGTATCGTGGTGTGGTAACAAGACGATATTGATCTCACAAAGGTCTCAGTTCGAATCGAATGTTCGGCTAAGGTACGCGTTCTGACGTACCCGGCAGCATTTTCGTCGTAAGAAAATGTGCTAACTAGGTTCCCTAAAATAATAGCGCACCCTCCGTTATATCTCAATCCCGCGTTGAGAATAATGCGATTGGGGAAATACGACTGGCCAGTCTCTCTCCGACTCGATGAGAAATACGTGAGTATGATACACGTACGTATGTCAAAGAGGACAAAAGGATAGTGCACTCTAAAGATTATTTAGTTTCTTCTCATTGAACAAACGATCCAAAATCTTTCTTCCGTAATGCCGTACGAGTAACATAAATTAAACTTTTTGCAATACATTTTGTTATTAAAAACAAAATAGAAACATCGTACTGTTTAGTATTTTAGTCAAAGCAAAATTGTTTGATACTTTGTATTTAACAAGGGGCTTTCTAATATTTTGGCCTGGTTTTTCCCTCTCCTCTACAATACATTTTTTTTTAATTCACTAACATTTGCGAATTGTCTTTCATACTGGTATATGGCCCTCGCCAAATTCTCTCAACAATTTTCTATGATATTCAAGTCCGGAGATTCTAAAACACGAATTTTTCTGTTCGTCAAGTTCGATAAATGTACACATTTTCTGGCATAGGTGTTAATTTGCTCGTCAATCGTTTTAATATATTTTTTTTACCACTTAATTGTCCTGTAATAAATTCTGTTTCCATCTTACCTTAGTAACCAATATCTCGAATCGTCATATCACCGTTTCCCATGAGTCGACAAACTCCTTTTCGTAAATCACGTATAATAGCAGTAGAGGCCTAAATTGAATCTCTTTTCATCGGTGAATGCGACTCTTTGCCATTTCTTATTCATACAAATACGTTTCTCTGCAAATTGCAAAGTCATTCTCTCTCTTTAACCAAGATTTTTCTTGCAATTTTCGTCGTTTCAGACGTTCAAAATTTTTTAAAACACATCGAACACTCTCGACTCCTAATTTGTCGTAACTTTAGCTTTTTCTGCAATTTGTCTCGCAGCGAAGCTTGAATTTTTACGTATCACGGCACGTTTATCCCGAGCAGTTAGACACTGAGGTCATTCACAATCTTTTCTTCTTCCATAATTATCGGCATCTTTTAGTAAATTCATTGTCACTTTACGACTTTTGTTAACTGTTTTGACCATTTTCGTCGCAGAATAACGCTCTTTGTTTCAATTTCAATATCGCGTGTATTTCAGATTTCACTTTTTCTCGCGACTCGTTTTCATAAATGTTAATGCGCACTGTTACGTTTTCGATAGCTTCTGACCAGCAGGCAAACATTCGACTTGTTCCACTCGCCTCGCGACTCTGGACGATATTTACATTTCTTTTTGTATCTGTTTGAGAAATTGGTCTCGGTAATCATCGTATATCCACGCTCAAGAATACTGATATAATAATCTATGCGTTCTCTCTACGTTACGATACGCGATATAAGAAAGTACGGAGTGTGAAGCGGTCTTTTCATTCCACAATCTTACCTAAACACATACCTATGTCTTAACGATCCGATCCGAGCGGATAAAATAAAAAAGTAAAAAAGGGAAGAGAACAAGCGACGTGAATGCCTCAATTATGTCACCGATAGGACGGGACGCTGGTAGGGTGTTATCCTCTAAGCTCAATGAGCAGTTAAGCTCAATTTGAAACGCGACTCTGGTTTTGTAGCGTAGCCAGCGTGTGACGCTAGTTGAATCGTCGACGTTGTCGACGACGACGACGACGACGACGACGACGACGACTCTGATCTGCCGGTCCATCTATTCCTGGAGCAGTACGCTGCTTGCCTTCGTCAGGTTCCTTAGTAGCTGATGGACTCTACCTACCGATTATCCTGTCCGCGTACTTCCGTCTGGATCTACCGTTCTTCTTACCGAAATCCTGGCGCGTCACGTGTAAAAAGTGTAACCCACAAGTGATTGCAAAAATTCTGCAGATATTCCTCGGTTCGCAGCGAAGAATGACAGAAGACGCGTAGAGTGGACTTTGCATCGCGCCCAGTGTGTGTGGAGAAAATGTTTCGAAATGAAATTTTTAGGACCCGTTGAACAGCATTCTTTATTGTGATTTTCTTTTGGGGGGGGGGGGGAAATTTGAATTGACGAAATATCTCAATTGAAATTGTACAGTTGTCAGTTGCAGTTGTTAAAATTATCTGTTGGTCGGTAGGAAACAATTATAAATAATTGACAAATTATAATAATTTGGAAATTGTCAATTTCCAAATTTATAATAATTTAGAAATTATCAACAAGCAGCGATTAAAGGGATTAAAGGTACGTAAGAAATTCGTGAGATTCGTCGAGGACCGAGGTGGTTCCTGCTCGATTTGTATTGTGTAGCAATTGGTCTTATTGGCGATTAAGACGCAAAAGCTTGCTCGTCGGAAATCGACGCGGTCGTAAAAATAAATCAAACCTACCGAGGGAACTGGATTGGGCAATCGTCTTCCTCGAGTGCTGGCAAACCGGCAACATTTTCTCCAACCTGCCTTTCGTCTGTAACTCTTTAAAATTCATCCAGCCGATTGCAAACTTTCCACGATCGCGTGGAAAGCGCGCACCATTTCGTTATTCGAAATGTAGCCGACTGGCAAAAGTAGTTCGCGAACGAAGGCGAACGACAAACTACTAAATTAATTTGTCGGTGGGAAAATAAATCCGGACGGAATGCGTGGGCAGTCGAATTTAGACGAACTTGCATAATCGCATCGGACGAGATACATCGGACCGGGAGCGACACGAAGGACGGGAACGTGGATGTCGGCATCGTCGGCTATCTACGCGTGCCTCCTCGGTCAATGAGCTAATTGCCTCTGGTATATCAATTTTCATTGGGCGCAATTGCGCCAGCCGTACGAATACGCATTGTGGTTGCACTTGTCCCGTGGGTCGCCTCAAACAGGATACGGCATAGTTTCCCTTTGTGCAGATTCATTGTCTTGTTTTCGCGTTTTCCATTGGCCCCGCTGTTAACCGGGCGACCAATGCGTACGCCAGGCCTGGCGACGTTCGAAATTGGCCGGGGTCGTGCGCGGGGTAGAGAAATGGGCAAAAGAAATGCGAGACCGCGCGCGACTTTGTTCCGTTTCAGATTGTATGGCAGCAACTGGAACAACGAGTAAAAGAAAGTCGTTGTTCCTTTCCGTAATTGGTATTTGACGATTGGTTTCTGTCGTCCTGGATTCGAGAGAAGAAGAAGAAAAAAAAAAAAAAAAAACATACGCAATTGCTCGGTTTGCTCGTCGACAAACAGCGAGACAAATGTGTATCAACTCCTCTTCCCGAAGAGGACTCGATCGAGCCAATAGGGCCAATGTTACGGGCGAATCGCGCCTAAACTTGTACAAATAAACGGAATCTCATTGTCAGAGTCAATTGCTCTTGGCAGACACCAGTACGCGACGACGCTAAAGGCTATGGCCCAGTTTTCGCCCAGTTTCCCAGTGACCCGCTGATCCAATCTCATCTTCCATCTTACGTTCTCTTGCATTCTCGTCTTCTCAGTATATATCTGATCGACTTTCGTTCGAAATCGTTTCTGCCTACTTTGAGGAGGACACTGATCTGTGCAGCCGGTAAAGAAACAACTATTTTCGCCAGACGTCGTCGCGTTCTCGGCGATCTTTTCAAGAGGTCGATCAAATGGAACGCGCTAAAAAAAGAGTAACCTCAGAAATTTGTCCGACGAGCGAAACGAACGGCGTACAAGTGGTGGTTACGCAACGGAAAATCCAGAAAAAAAAAAACTGAACTGCAAGTGGGAGGATTGAGTTAACGAATTCCCTGTAAATCGTGCTGGCAATTAGATTCGAGCTAAGCTTGAAAACTCTCCGAACATCGGACGTTGATAATGAGAAATCAATCTTGTTGAAATCAGAAAAGTATAATAGCGTCTTTCATAAGAGATCGATCGTGAAACGTATGAAAATGATCGGAAGTCAAATAAAAATTAGAAATCATTAAAACGAGAGATCCTGTAAGATTACTAAATTCATAGGGAACACTGATAGAAAGTTCATGAATGATTCATTCGGGAGTTGCGAGTAATAACGATAAAGTATGCACGAAGCGAGATTTATTTAGATTCAAGGCGATCGTTGCGTTATCCAGTGCAAGGCTTAATTATTCTTTTGTCTGTTTATTTCCAAGCATTCTCTAAACAGGAAGGCACTACTCTCCCTTTCGCCGAGTAATTAATTAAATGAACGAATTTAGCTGCTCGGAATGCTGCAATTGGGTCAATGCCGCAGAGTTCGTCCATAGATCTCGTAGCAAAATAAACGTCCGTCTCGATCGTGCATCACTGATATCCCGAATCAGTTAATAAAATACACTGCTTCAAACGATATTCCACAAACGATGTTTCGGATCTTTGTAAGTGTTTCTGACTGTTTCTCCTTGATTATGTATACATTCGGTCGAATAAATATGCGCGGCACCGATAACAAAGGTCGTCGAAGTTCATCAGTGGCCGACAATGCCGTGGCATGGGAAATCCTCAGTTTTTAGAACAGTTTGACACTGGTCGCTTGGACAGCACCTTCGAAACTTTGCCAGTCCCTCGATCGTTACTCCCATTCCGACAAAATATCCGACAGTCTCAATATTTCATAACTCTTCGATTCCATTCAATTAGATTTTTCGTGGAATTTCACTTGAGGAAGAGTCAAGAAGCATTCGTTTCGTTCTAGATCGTAACGCTTGCGATTTACGAGAAGATTTGCAAAATATTGCGATTATATTCTGCCTGAACTTCCGTACAAGCGCGTAAATGTCTGCAGTATCTCTTTGTAATGATCGCGAGTGTACGTACGTTTCAATTTGAGAATGAAAGTGTCGACGAAAGGGAGTGAGGTCTTGATCGAGCGTCGATGCACGAGCTATATTGTTCTTGGCTGACAGTTTCTTCAGACTCGCTCTTCTTTCGAAATCGCGTTTCGAAATCCCTCGGGAGACAGACGTTGACAGGCAGTTGATCGCGGCAATGAATGAGAGATCATCTTCGAACGGACGGTGCTCGGACAGCTCCGACGAATCGATGTTTACGTCGGATGTTGAACGTAGAAAAGTGTAGCGTGTGTCGCGATACCATCTCGCATCTGGTGGTGGAATCTGTTTCTTCGAGAAAGCGAGGTCTACGTGAAAGTGAAAATCGAACGAGATGAGTTTGAATTGCGAGTAAGAACAATGGTGAGCACCAACCCACCCCTAGGGGTGGCTACGATGAATCGCGGGAGGAACACTTTTCGCGGCGTGCCCAAAGCGGAAATCGAACGCAGAACTAACACCCTGCTACAGGCTATGACGGTGAGTCCATTTCTCGTCGAGTATACAAAATATACAAAAAAATATCAATTTCTATGGAAATACGAAACATTGAAATTTGAAATTCGCCGCGTGAAAGGAGAGTAAAGAATGTTCAGTCGTTGACAATGAATATTCGAAGGCACCACGGATGAAAGTATTAGATAAAATTATCCACGCAACAATGCCTGTTGGCACCCAATATCGGTAGCTCGATTGAGGTATGTACGTCTCAATGTTCCGGCTGAAGAACTTTGAACTGCGAGTATCGCGAGCGATGCTTCGACAAATGACTTGCAGCTAAAAATCTCCTCGCGTGCTTCTTATCAACGCAGGTCTTATGACCGGCAGATGTTACAATTACGCGTGACGTAAGCCGATTGCACACCATTTCTAAATAAATTTGATTGTTCGACTGTATCGGTTGGCACACCGATCGAGGGTTTTTTGAAAAATGTTCGGCAAATATTTTCGCTTCGGGAATATTTTCAGGAAAGTAAAAGCTTCGGTTTCACTCTGTTGGTTGATTCTCTGATTGCACAGAAAATTCGATGAAAATGCGTCTCGCTTTGTTCGACTGCGTAACGCTTAGTCACTCGCTCGGATCGAATGTTAAATTAGCTCGGGAAATTTGACGTTTTATCTGCAGATCGAGGAGCTCTACGCCGCGCTGGTGTTCATGATCCAGCACCAAATCGGCTACGACGTTTCCAAGGAGTGCGAGCTGGAAACTCTGCTGAATTACCTCCAAAATGCGTTCAAAGTCGACAACGACGTGCACGAGAGGGTTTTGGACGAAACGAGAAACATGGAGGTAAGCATTATGCGAATAATTTGAATTTGGAATTGTACGTCACGTCGTTCGTACTTTAAACAGCCGCCGGAGATGCATTTGAACGTCGAGGTGATCGAAGCGAAGGAACTGGTGTCGAAGGACTCCAACGGCAAGAGCGATCCTTTCTGCGCCCTTTACCTCGAGTCAGCTCCCACGAGGAGATACAACACTGCCGTGAAAACGTTCACGCTAAGCCCCGTGTGGGAGGAACACTTCGAACTGTGAGTTGAGAGTTGCGCACAGACTAAAGGATAAATAATAACGTAAAAACTTCAAACGTGATCTCTTGCAGCCCTCTGGAGGACCCAGAAAACGACGTACTGTGTTTAGAAGTGTGGTGAGTTCTAAAATTCTACGAGCCGCGACGTTTGAATATCGTCTATTTTATTCGTCTCGATTCAAGGGATTTCGACGCTGCTGAAACAGTTCCCGAAAAGATGAGCAAAGTGAAGGACGTGAAGGGTGTTCGAGGGCTGGTGAAACTAGCGAAGGAGATTGCAGTCACTGCCACTACCGGCAGCCACGACAACGAGTTCATCGGTCGCTGTAGGATACCTCTAAAGGTACGCGAAACAAAAATAATATAAACAGAAACGATTCCCTTGTTACGAGAGATTGAAATCAGACCGATGTTTCGAATCCTGCCCCGTCAGGACATACCGACAACAGGCCACACAATGTGGTACTCCCTCGAGAAGAAGAACAAGTCGAAACGACGCGGTGTGGTGAAACTGAGGCTGGCCTTCAGCGCGGAGCACAATGCACAAGTGGCCGCGCAAGAGTACCGACACTTGATCAGAGTGCTATTGTTGCATGAAATCGAGACTCAAAAGATAGAGAAATACTGTTGGTGTGGCCGATGGTCAGCGCCAGCGGAGGTACTTCTTCTTCAGCACAGCGCTCAACGGGGCTTGCTCGCCAGGAACGTGACGCTCGCTCAATGGATAGAGTACGCGAGAATTCATCAGGAACATCCGTTGAACTTCACCGTGTTCAATAAACTGGCGATCGATCTTCTGCGGCCGATGGAGAACGGCCTTTTCTCGCCGGACGAAACGAAACTGTTTTGGGACGCAACGAAGAAGTTGTTGTACTCGTGCCTGAACAGTGTTCGCAAGATCAGGAGGCTCCCGGCTGGAGACAAGAACGCCATGACGCAGTTGTCCGCGATTTTAGGGTGATTGGCAAATTTTTCGAGTTTTATAAGAACACGATTTTTGTTTTAACCAGATCACGATTATCGAGAGAGATATAAATCTAGAAAATTGCTCGTTTCGTCTAATTTTATACGTGAACTTTCTGTTGCGTTAGAATACTGTCGTCGATCTCGTCCCTAAAAGTGCCTGCAGACTGCAATCTGTTTCCCGCGAAGATGTACTCCTGGTTCCTAGACCCTGACGAAGCACCAAGTGTCCTTCAAGCTCTCGAATACACAGTCGAACAGGGTGGCGTCGAGTGGTAAGCGTTTCAATGGTCCGAGAACGAAGAATCCACAATTCACAAGCAGTAAATTGAGCATTTGAACATTTTCTTTCCACGTTATCCCAGGTTCGAACATATATTGAACAACAATTTCCCAGAGAGCGAGTCAGACGAGGATGCGTTGAAGCATCACATCAAAGTAATTCAGCTGATCAGAGCAGATTTGCAAAATGCCATCGACAATTACGACAAGCTATTTATCAAGTAAGAATTCGAGATCTTTTCGGGGGAATATTTGTAAGAAATGACACAAGTACGATGTGTAAATGAGTTACATTGCAATTTCAGACGAATCAATCTTCCTTACGCAAGATGTCTGTACATGACGTACGAGAAGAGGATCAGCGACATGTGCATGATCATTACAGAGGATATCTGCGGCAGATTGAAGCGGATCGAAATCGAAAACGCCGACGTGGAACTGAATTTGGGGACGACTCTGTTCGAACTGTATCTCGCGTTGCAGAGATACGCTATGTAAGTCGAGTACAATTCGAAAGTGAATTGGCACGAGTTGTTAAAGTGTAGAAAAGGAATTCTTTGGAAAAATTGTGATTCTTTCTTTTCTTTTTTTTTTTTTAGTCTTGGTCAAGTACTGTGCGCTGAGGGACAGCTCGAGGGTATGAAAGTACAGAGTTACCACGAGTGGTTCAGGGCTGGCGTGGCGCACTGGCTCGATATAGCAGTGTACAAGGCTTTGAAACGAATCGACAGAGCCGTGGAGTTCGACACACTGCAAGCGGTCGATAACTCCGTCCAGTACAGCTCGAGCGCTGTAGATACATTAACGATATTCTATCAAATCAAAGTTTTCTGGACGCAGCTCGCGTGGCCGGACATAGAGGGTTCTTACACTTTTATTGCCAAAATTATAGACGTAAGTCCCAAAGCCAACAAAATGGATGGCAACTCCCTCTAACAATAGACTGCATCATCGCCAATCCAAAACCCAAAGACATCTTCACAATCAGCGCATTTCTTCGCCAACATGTACCACAAAAAACACCCACAAAACAACAATATCAAACACCCCCTCCAACATTACACACGCATACATGATCAAAAACCCTCACACAACTAACACAAAAAGGACCTAATCACCGACCCGACACACTAACACTATAAACATGTAACAACCAAACCTATTGGCTAAAACTGTAAAGCTTATGGTTTTAATCTTTTCAATAAATTCAAGTCCCAAAGCAAATCAAAAACATTCACACAAACCAACACAAAGAAAGATACCAGCCGATAATACGATTAATTCAAGACCCAATCACCGATTCCGTGCATAAACATCCTGCACATGTAGCAATCAAACCTATATGGGCTAAAATTGTAAAGCCTATGGTTTAATATTCAATAAATTTTCAATTCAAGTTCCAAGGTGATTTCTCGACCGAGAAATTTTTGATTTACGTTGGCGCAACTATTATCACCAAATTGAAAAGAAAATCCAATCATTGAAAATATTTCCTATTTTCCGAAATGTGTGTCATATCGCTATGATTTTTCTAGGACATCTGCAAATGTTCGATCGCATACGCGGACAAAATGGCAAAGAAGGCAGAGCTGACCACAGATTTGGAACAATTGTCAGAGAGCAGCGTGTACGAGAAGAAATTTGTCGTGTCGACGGCTTGGTGTTTCGCGATCAACAACATCGATTACATTCGAACGTCAATTGGACCGTTGGCCAACGATCTGGGACTTCAGAATATCGTGGATGCATTGGCGGAGAGCAAGACTCAGGAAGAGGCAGAGAGATGCCAACAGACGCTTCAATTAATCATCGACAACGCCACAGACACCGTTAGGAACAAGATCATAGAGCTGCTACAAGTTGTCGCGAATAAAATGGCCCCTGCCATGAACAGGTAACAACATACGACAAAATGATTCGGTTAATACTTTTTTCATACAAAGGTTCAACTAAAATTTGAATGAAGGTATCTGATGGAGGGTGCAGAGTTAATAGACACGACCAGCAATTCCATGGAACGACTTCTACAATATTTGGACAGTAATCTAACGACGCTGCACGATTACCTTAACGAAGACAATTTCGAGAGGATTTTACTCGTCATCTGGGACACGATATCGGAGAGTTTATTCCAATTGGTGCACAATAACCTAGAGGTACGTGACGGAAATTTTTTTTTTTTTTTTTAGAAAATATTAATAATTAGGAAACAATGAAATATACGCATTAGAAAAGCTAAGTGAAAATTGAAAATTTTCGTGCTACAGAGAAGGAGGCCACCGTCGTTTTACTCCAATCTCCATCGTTCCCTACATACCCTCATTCGGTATTTCAACATCGGAGCTGACGAGGCGGCGAACGTGAGAGTTTTAGAAAAAATCGAACACCTGCTGGAGCTCCACGGTCTGGAGACGGCCGAACTGATACACCGTTACCATCAGGAGAGAATAAAGGAACAGAACGAGTTGGACGAGTCCGAGTACGGACAGATCACTGTCAAGGCACAGTTTGTGGATAATTCTCTGAACATTCAGATACTGAACGCGAGGAAATTGCGGCCAGTCGACAGTAACGGTAAGGCGATAAAAGTATAACATCCCTTTCGTGACGGATTTCGTCTCGAATATAGTTCGAAACTGTAACTTACTGCTAGAGATCGCATGATTGCTAGAAATGAGATTTTAGGCGATTAGACGTTACTTTATTCCGTAACGGAAATATGATTTTGTGAAAAGTGAAAAGTGAATCTCATAGCTCGCTAATCATTCACTTTAAATCGACGACGGGTGAACGAGCGGGTGATCCGCGGCGCAAGGAAAATGATATTTTCTTTCGATTTTATAGGCGATTTGGTAGGCAAGGTGTCTACTCTCAAGCGCAAGCTTCATGCAAAATCTAAACAAAGACCGAAAGAACGGAAGACAAGTATGTAAATCGTGGATGTCAAGCAAAACAGAAACAAACGGGAACACTGTTCTTCTTCTTCATCATTCTCTCGATTAGATCCTCTCATGCCTGCCCTCATGACAATTAGAAACTTCAGATTTGCATGAACAAACCGCCGGCCAAACTGTTATGTTACGTTTTGTCTCACTGTGTATTTGTACCTAGAGAATTGTACGAGCATTTTCGCACATCGCATAACTTTTTCCCCACCTCCGACTTAGAAATGTGAAATTGATCGCGAGTGACGCAGACTTCTATAAGGTTCCAAGTTACGAGATATTGTTTATAAATTCAAGCGAATGTTACGCAGTGATTCGATGTGTTGTTGATGAAGCTGTGGAACCTTGTAGACGAAAGACCCATCGAAGAATAAAGATAGTCACCTTTCACCGTGCATGAGCCCATATTGGGGTCTTTCCGGTGTCTCGAAAGGATGACTTAAGCGTAAACAGTGTTCCTCCTGTTTTCCAGGTAGTTGCGACTCATACGTGAAGGTGAAGCTACTTCCGGAAGAGAAGTTCGCTGACGTGAAGCTGCCTAAAACGCACGTGCAAAAGGAGAATCTGTATCCGCTGTTTGACGAGATCTTCAACATGTGAGTAATGGCTAATCTTGTTTCCGCAGCGAGAATGGAGCTTCAATTTGAACAATTGCAATCACTTGCAGCCCTCTGACAAACGAACAGAGAAACATGGAAAACGCGATCGTGGTCTTCGAGCTGAAAGACAAAGATTTCCTTCGATCGAGATTCATGGCGGAAGCTTTCCTGCCGTTCAGCGAAATTGCTAAAACAGGCTCGGACCAAAGAATCGAATCTCTGGAGCAAATCCACTTGATGCTATCGCGTCCAACAAGAAAGAGCAAGTTTCCTTTGCTATTTATTCCTTCAGTCGTAACTAATCGATTGTTTCTATCTACTTGATCTCTTACTTTTTTCATTTGTTGTTTCACGTGTTCAGGTACGGACGTGATCCAAGCGTTGGAACATAGGAAGGGAGACAACCAGGCGACAGAGTTTTTATCGAAGCTCAGTTCCAAGGCTGAACGAAAGTAATCGTTATTACTTACTGAGAAAATTGAAAAGAATTGCTCACTGTGCAATAGAAAGGAACAACGTTTCAACTTCAATCGAACGAAGATGAGATTGTCAATTTCAGTCGTTTGTACGATAAGCAATTAACTTGATACGCGAGCCTTTAGAAAACTGCCTTACGTTGAGGCAGTTTACGTCATCGCTATTTTTCAATCTAATTTATGTCAAACCGTTTCGCAATTAAACTACGCATTTCAACGTCCAACGTATAACGTTACTTAAAACATTTTTGTAACTTTAAATGCGAGCGTGTGCGAGCTATAAATTTTGTAATTTATTCAAATCGTCGCTCTTCGTTTCTCGCGTACAGACTAGATTTGTTCACGAGAAACAGAACAAAGGAATAGACTATTTTTATAAAATTTTGATATGCGAGTATACAAGCTGTTTCTAACAACCGAGACCCATTTTCCAGGCTGTGTATCGCTTCAACTATCGAAAATTGAACGTATTTCCCTACGCGGAACACGAAACGTCGCATTTCAAAACTAGAAAAACTATAAGGCTGAGTAAGTGCTACTTACGAGCAATATCGTTGATTATCATTAAGGTTTACAGTGTACGCTTAGTTGCAATAAATCAAAAGTAAAATAAAATTGCCAACATAGGTGTACAGTATGCAAATAATTGCAACTACAGATCGAACGCGTGTATGTTTCATATAACGAAAGTGTTAGTGTTGTTATCATTGTTGGAACGAAAGTAAATCGCGGTCAAGAGATCTGCTATCGAACTCTTTGTTTGCAAACTATCTCTCGCGACGCGACAATTCGAAAATTACTATTTTTCTTTTTTTCTTTTTTTTTTCATTCTGAAACAAACACTTTTGAACACATTTTGATTAACTTGAACGATTATCGTATCCAGAACAGACAGAGAGTAATCATATCTTACTTTAAATATTACATGTATTTATGTAAACGCGAGGCAATTCAAAATGTAATGAACGTCGAATAAATTATTAAAATGTATCAACACGAAGCATTGTTATTTTGTAAGTGCTGCTCAAAAATTCCATAATACGCGATTAATTTCTCATCATGTAACACGTTATTATTAGATTCATTCGTCATTTATGGAAGGAAGTTCACATTATGCACATGCGTGCTAATGTTTTCTCGTTTCTCATTCCTGTCTCCATGGAATGCGCTCTGTTTAAAATTACACGCACTTCATTCCGTTTGCGTGCGTTGAGGGAAACGCAGTTTGAATCGCTTATTCCCTCTCGGAAATTTCGACGTTACGCTATAGTTACCTACTGTATCATCAGCCGCGCACAAAGATTCCAGGAAAACAAAAAAATCCATAAATTCAAAATATATATCTTCTCTCATTTTTCAAAAATTCTATTCTTCTCTGACTGTTTACACAATTCGTTCAGTATCCGTTCTTTGTGTCGCTGTTTTCAAATTTCATTTAACATAGTAAATTTCACGATTGATTGAAACAGGAAGTTTATTAAAAATTGTGACATGAATCGTCATGATTTATCTATTGTGAATAGACTGATTACGGTTTTCTTTTTGATACACAATTGAAGATTTTTATCTTACCAGGCTGTAATCGCGTTATCGATACTGACGCTGTTGAGAAAACAGGCTGATGCGTCGTCATCGAAGACTGGAAGAGGGAGCTGGAATATCGAAAACGACCTTTGCTCGAGATTATACCGTTTCATTTTCTTTTTTTTTTTTTCTACCGCTAATCTTAAGTGTAGCTTGGACAATTTTTCTTTGATATTATGCAGTGAATAGAAGGAATGACAAATATTAAATATTTTTTTCCAAATTCAATTAACCTAATACCTAGGTGGATAAACGTTGGAGAATAGAATTCAAATTGTAGGGCTTAATAATAAATTTCACGAATAGTTGTATGTTCCTTATTTCATCAAGAATCAACGTTGGAAAGTTAATGTTGCGTGGTAAAGGCATGTAATTTCGGATTACTTAATTGACTCTATTCCTAACATGTTATCTTGTTATCGCAGTCCCGTAGGCTGATGATTCAGTGGCGTGCAGAAAGTCATCTACGCAATGCTTGTAGCTACAAGTGCACGCAATGCGAACTAATCTCGCAATTTTCTATTATACTTCCATCCCCCCACTCCCTTTCTTTCATCTTTTGTATACAAAAGATAAAAAGAAAGAAAAGAAAATAACTAAAGAGGTAAAAAGGCGTTCTACCTTTCACAGAAGAACAATTTTTAGCAGGAAGATAATTTTGGGAACGTTACTGACGACGTGTTTCGAAGCTCAGTAAGAAAATCCGCAAATACAAACTCTTGTATTTCTTTCGTGAAATGTGAAATGATAGCTTCCTCCCGATCAAAACGTATACGACGACAAACAGAAAACGAATATGACAATTTCATTGATAAGATACTCCATAAAAATATCGTTCCTTCCAATTGAAATGTCGCAGAAAATGAACAGGACAATTTCATTAATACGATAATTCGTAAAAATGTAACGTTGAGGTTGAAAGGATCGAGTATAGGACGAAGAGGTGGAAAGGATCGAGTATAGGACGATTAATAGAAAGAAAATGAGGTTTGCCTTTTGGCGTATTAATTAAAATACGCAAACAGAGGTCCCTCTTGGCGATCACGTCGATAGCAGATAGACACTGTGTCCCGTCTGGACCCTTGTAATTACGCGTAACGAAATCTATGGCATCGTTTTAGAGAAAGATCGGGAAAACTGTTTAAAATTCAAATGAATGCGACCGGCCGCGGCCCGATGCAAACGGCGCAATAACCGGCGCTCACTTCGCGATCGAGCTTCGGAAGTTTCGTGCGCGAGGCAACGACGGCTCTCCGCTTTAATTGCCTCGCAATTGATTTCATATTGCTCCGATTGAGTTTTCCTTTTCTCTCTCTCTCTCTCTCTCTCTCTCTCTCTCTCTCTCCCTCTCTCCAGGCTACGGTTCTACGATTGCGTTTCGAAAGGCGCCTCGAAAGCTGCGTTGATTGAACCAGCAAATTGCGCGAACAGTAAAATCTCCGACAAAGTGACAAACTCGCTGTTAGAACTGCGAGATAGCTGGAATTCCTCAGATTCGAAGAAAGGAATCTTCAGATCTCGCAACAGTAACAGAAATTTTAGCATTAAACGGGCGTCGACGTTGCGAACGCAATCTTAAACGAATGTGAAAACTGCACCAGAGCTACCTCACGTTTCGTTATTAATAACTCGAGGCGAAATTCTGCGACGCGTTAAACTTTCCGCCCCTGTCCATGACTCGACGATGCACCGGATACTTTTACCTCGTCTCGATGTTTATTAAAATTTTCGGTGTACCGCCGGAGACGAAGTGCCCTTTTTGTCATGCATAACCTCGGCTTGCGGCTCAAAGGGAAGCTTGCAAAAAGCCAAGATCACGAAAAAAAAGATGGAAAACGGGAGGGGGAGGGGGGAAAGGAGAAAATGGGTTGCCACTTTGGCGAAGGAGCCGTCTCCTGTAACTGGATGCGACAGAGTGTCCTTAAAACGGAAACTTTTCGATCGCTGGAGATGAACTCGGATTATTACACGGAGGTTTCCGGATAGCGCAGATAGCGAGAGAAGAATATACCTGTCCATACCGATCCATATTCATGCTAGGCATGTATTTCTACAAATCACGTCGTTACCCGCTCGCAACCCAACTTTCGGCCGCTTGAAATTCCTTCAAAATATTGACACAAATTATCGCGCTCGGTCGTATATCGTATATGAACGATATTCAAGGAGTGTTTTGTCAGGTGCTCAGAGAGATCGTTAGAATGGAGAACGTGATTTCGAATGCACTGCCGCCTTTTATCTGGTCGTTAGTCATCAATTTTTTTCCACCGCTTAATTGACAGTCGGCAGTCGCTGAACTCGCGTGTAACAGATCCAGTTATATCAAGTAGCTTTCCGCGCGATCGATTGGAAATCTTGTACATACACCGCTCGGATCTCGATTCGGTTTGCAACACGACTACTGAAAGTGACGTTACTCGCTTTTGATAAGGAAGATTTTATCGGCTCTGATCGTCCGCGCGTTTTTCCGACCTCGTTCGATTAAGAAACTTTTCGCGACAAGCAGAAGAGATACGAGACGATAGAGGCTTCGTGCCTGATGGATGTGATGAAACAGAGATAGAGCCGAGCTCCTTGCAACGACATTTCTGTATTTTTTTTTTTTTTTTTTTTTTAAGCCGGTGCACGATACACGCAGATAAGTCGTACACACTCGGCTACCTTCGGCTCTGATACGCGAAACAATAATAAAGTATGTCAAGAACGTCACGGTGCAATCTTCCGCGATAAATAATCTCCCGGGGAAACGACGATGAATCGCCGAGTAAAACTTGCACGACGGATACATCGCGTCTCGAAGAATAAGAAAACTTCCTCAACGGAGTTCTGTATCTCGCTGAATCTCTGTTATTTACACGCGTTTTGATTACCGCACGCACACCAGTGTTACCAGCACCAGTGATGTGTACATACGTAGACCGTGCAAGCAGTACAAATATGAGACAATTAAGGAGCTCGAGACGTACAGATAAAGTCGTAATTACAACGATAGTCGTAGAACGGTCGCTTTCACAGGATGTCTGTTTCCACCATTAACTCGGGACAATTTAACCACGTTAAACAGAACTTTAGATAACGTTCCTTTTTTTTCTTTTCCTTTTTTTTTTTCTTCTCATGAATTACATCGTATAGACCTGTCTGCATCATCATTTATCTATGTCACCTGACTATCAGGGGAATGAACAGAGTAGTTCGTTCGATACCAATAATCCGAAATAGCTACTCCATAATTCAATGGATATATATATATATACGTGTCGTATAGGAGTCGTATAAAACATATAGTTGCAGAATTGTTAAAAGTTAGATGAAAGCCAGACGAAGAAGTTCTAATTAAAAGTATATCAACGGACAGCGTGCTACAAATTCGGGCGAAGTCGGTGAGAGAAAGAGAGGGGCGGAGTGGCTGTCGCAAATCAAACTGAATGCCGCGCGCAGCAGTGGCCAATTTTTTTAGCTGTATCCCGGAAAGAATCTAACCCGGTCGCCTCTTCCTGCGGCGAACGCCATTTTATCGGTAACGTGGAACGTGTTTGTGACACGTTTCACGGAACTGTCGCGCACACACGCGAGCTCAAGCCTCTGCGAGGCGTTGGTGCGCGTGTTTGCATACGCGTCCGTCAACGTGCAAGTGTACACGTATACGCGACGCTACTGCACGCACGTGTGTACGTGTGCGAGCGCATAATACCGACACGGCAGCGTTCTACGGACAATACGTAATTACCGGGAATGTCGATCGATACGAGGCGACTATGTAAACTGACCAATGATGACTGTTGACCGATAACAATCGTTTCGAAACGTGCAATCTAAAACGACTTTAAAACAGCGGGACACTGGCTATTTACGACGATGCAGCAACAGCAGCAGCAGCAGCAACCACCACACCGCCGCCTCTCGGTTACATCCTCTCTCTTTCCACTCTTTTTTCCACTCTTCTTCTCTTCGTTCTCTGTTCTTTCTTTCGTTCTTCTTTCCCACTCTCTCTCTCTCTCTCATTTTTGTTGCTTTTGTAATTTCATCGTATCACGTCATGCAATTTTGAGCCGTGTAATTACACACGCAACACATATGCATAATGTTTACCCGGTGGAAAGAGAGAGATTCTACGGGCGCGACGAGAAAAATGAACAGTTGTTTGGCCAATTTACCGTTGTTTAACTACGCCGTTGCGTCGCCGCGTGAATCAAAAACAAAAAGAAAAAAAAAAAAAAAGGAAAAAGAAGAAAAAAATTGGTGTATGGATATACGCACGGAGTGTGCTATTATCGGCACCTGTGTGGAACCATTTTTCCGAAAACAATTGTTGAAGGACAACGTGTCGCGGTGCAGGAACGATTTTCAACGTTTAAACACTTGAACGTAATGCAGCAATAAAACGAAAAGTGTGCGGAATTTTTTTT